GTGTAGCTAAGCATCTTACCTAACTGTATTCCTGCCCTTCACCACTGTATGCTCACTTTTTCCTTATTATTAAGCTGAGAGGGAATGTCAGGACGTCTGTGCTCCCCTGTTTTGGTGTGCAGTGGAGGCAGAGGGTCAATTGTCCTGTTGCTATAGTTCTGTGTTATTCAGAGTAAGGGTTTTCTTCCTCAGCTAATTGTAACCTTTCCAGAGTATGTGATGTAAGTGATTGGAATAAAGAAACTACGAAGAAACAGTGTAACAGTGAGAAAGATAGAAAAGGGGAAGAAATAATTAGAAATACAAAATGAAGAGCTTTGAAACACATTTTTGAAATAGGTAACATTCTCATTAATATAAAGAAGCTGGCTTCTTTATATGAATAAAGAGTCAGTAAAATGTTTTCACTGCACAGACCTATGCAGCGTTGTAGAATGTAGACCAGGACGGGCACAAAGGGGGACAGATGACCCAGGGTAGCCAGATGTGATGTCTTATTCCCCTGTTGACACTGTCATGCTCAAATGCTAGCTCTAAAGTTAAGGGGGAAAATAGATTAATTATGTGATAGCTGAAAGTGAAAGGTTACTTTCTGAAAGTGATGGTACAGCTGTATTTCTTGAGAAGGAATTCGTAAGAAGCAAAAAGTGAAAATAGTGCATGAAATGTTCCATTATCAGTTTTATATTAAGCAAGCTGTTAAATTTAATTACAGAAGTTACCATCATGGGAACATTTATTCTTCAGCTAATACTGACAGAGAAAAAGCCCTTGATGTAAAACACCTGAAAAAGCCTCTCAGATTTTGACAAGATTTTAAGGTATTTCAGTGTTTTGTTTTTGTGGTCTTGATCAGAGTGTCAGTCCAAGTAACCCGAATAATTGTTAAAACCAGTAGGACTCAGGAATTTATGTATACACATTATTCTGCATAGGTGTATTTTGTATTTCTGTATAATTCATAGTCCTAAAACAACCCAGGTGCCAAAACAGTTAGTGGACCTAACAATTAATTCCCATCTATTCTGGGAGACAAGATCATTTCTAGAGTCCCTTTTCATGCTATTTTTTTTTTTTTAGTAGTAGTTCAAAAATTATCCTTGCTAGGCTATGAAGAATTAAACCAAGTCCAAACTTTTGAGCAGTTTTGTCTGAGAATTGTCCACAGAGAAGTCTCTCAGTTACAGTACGACAGCAGTGACCACTGAAGAAGGATTTGCATGCCTGAAACTTGGCTGCTTTTCATCTCTAATGGTGGTTTGTTTTTTTTTTTGTTTTTTTTTTGTTTTTTGTAGTTAGAAATAATAATAACGATAAATTTGCTGCTGGTAACCCTGCCTCTGTAGCAACAGCAGAGTGTGTTTAAATATAGTTCTAATTTGTAACAATTTTGAATTCTTCTTTAATCTGGCTAAATTGGGTAAGAGCTTACTAAACCGGTCCAGGTAAGTGTTTTCTTCCTGCAGAACTTGTATTTTTTGAAAGATTTCACTGGCTGTTCAGATGCTGGTAGCAGCCTTATGGTAAGGGGTCGTAAGAGCTCCCAGCATTTTGAGCACTGTATTGATTTATATCAGTTCCAAGCACAAAGAAAAATTTAATTTTTGTCTATGCCTTGTCACATTGTTTATTCCAGGCTCTCCTGGTATTTCTGCACGTATTGTCTTTTCATTCCTCATGGAAAAAATAGTTTTTCTTCTGTCAGGGAGGAAAGAATTGATGATAAAAAGGTTGCTTAAAGGCCACTTGTAATGCTTTTACATCCTAAAGAGTGATTACTCAGAAATAGCAATGGTTGGATGAACATGCCAGGACTAAGACCACATACGTGGCACAGCAGCTGCCAGCCGCCCTTACTTCACTGGGCATCTCTCAGAAGGAATTATGCGTGCCCATAGATGGACATGCAGATGAATCCAGCATGTCCTTAGTTGCCTTTTTACTGTTTCATTGCACCACCACTACACTACTCCCAACGACCATGTGCTCCCTCTACTCCAGTCTCACAGCACTCTCTGTTGTAACAAGAAAGAATAACCTACTCTTAGAAAATAGTTCCTTTGGTCTTCTGCAGCAAGGCGAAATGCTGGCAGCCTTCTCCAGTACCTCTTCTGAAGGTGCTTGGAAGTTACTTTCCCTTCAGTTCTTTCAAAGCTTCAGCGGGAAGTAGGTGTCTCAGAGCACAGTCCTTCAGGTTATTCATCTGGCTTAGTAGGGAATTGGCCTTTGTATTGGAAGATATAGAAAAGCAATTAGTGCTCAAAGGCTGGGCTGCTAAACCAAAATATCTGCTATCAGCTGCATAGTAGGCATCCAGGTAGGACTGCCTTGCTGTGCAGAACCTCCTTAGCCTGAGACCAGTGTCATGTAAACACATTTCTAAAGGGCTGCCTGTGTAAGCACTGTTATCTTGGTCCCATTCTGTACCAGCCACACCACTTACAAAGTGGTTACAAAGCCATAACTTGGCCACTTCGACTTCAGTGCCTGCTTGCAAAAAATACAGTGGTCTGTGTCAAGTGACAAATCTCAACTCACTGTAGTTTCCCTGAATGCTAAAATGCTTCCTCCTACATCAACTCCCACCGGATGGCTCTGCCTGGGCTGGCTTTTGTCATTACTATCCTCAGTCTCCTTTGGCCTTCGGGAGCTGCTGTCATTTATTTTCATGAAGGTCCTGAGTCCACAGAGAGAGCAACTGTGTTTTGTACAAACAACTGCAAAACTTACTGTCATTTAGTTTGCCAAGCAGATCTTAAGACTTTTGCTAGTGGCAGCAGTGTCTGTGTCTGAGCTCTTCGTCTCTCAGTCTTTGTAGCAGCAAAGTGAAGGGGCAATCTCTTCCTGCTTATCTCTAACTGCAAAAGCCCAGGGACATCAGTGTAAGCAGGTTTTTGACCCATTGGCAATATCACCTGATTCTAAACACAGTATTTCTGAATCACACTTTTGCATGAGGTTTTCAAACAAATGCCTGATGAATAATGCATAGGAATAGAAAGAGCTTAAGAAATGTAGATAAAATTAAACTAGCAGCTGTTAAATATTGTAGAAATCGTTACATTCAGAAGTCATCTGCCATCTATCAAGGATGCTTATACAATTTATGTATAATGGAAATGACATTTGGTTTAACCTTGTCACAGTATAATCAGTTTGTGTCTCTGAGCGCTTAACAATTTACACCATCTTTTGGCTGTGACATTCGCCTCAGTAAAACGCATTTAATGAACCAGCAGTGTGTAAAGATGTAGTTTGTAGCTCAGATGGTGAAAATGTTTTCAAATTTGTAAAGAAATGATGTGACAGATGCACCAGCGTATGCTAAAACCTGAGATTTCTATTTTATAGAACACCATGTATCACATATTCTTTTTCCAATCCAACAGCTTGCCAATGCCTTTATTATTGACAGAACATAAAGCTGGTGAAATCCTACAGATAGATTTTTATGTATTTTTATACTTATAAACATAAATATGTATTTATTATATGTATATATTCAGCATATATTGTATCATACCATGTATGATTTGTACTTATATGCATATATATAATACTACGTAGGGGTAAGGGATGAAAATAACCTGGGCACAAGGGACTTACATATTTCCTTCGGGTGGGATTTAATGATGGCTAGATCTAACAACCATATTCTGAGGGAACAAGAGGTTGAAGTGTAGATTTTAGGAATCATAGATGAAGATGGTTTGAGTAAAGCTTACTGTATTGATACAAGTAAAAAAAAAAAAAAAAGGAAGAAAAGATATGAATTTATACTACTAAATTTGAAAACATTGAACTATTTAGATGCAAACTGAATAAGTAGGAGGGGTTCAGTCTTTGATCCTGTACCTCACTGACAGCCAAGGAAATAGAGCCTGGGAATAAATTACATTAACTATGACCAGAGAAGCGAATGCTGAGTCCAAGCAGGACTGGCAGAATAACAGAGCAAGAAATCAAATAGACAGCAAAGCACTGATTTTGTGTACAGGTGGCAGTGGATGGGTTTAAGTCAGAAATCTGCAACACTGATGGGCAGATCAAACCTGCAGTCACAATTTCTGCAGATGAGCTGATACCAGACAAGAGTGGGACAGGCATCCTTAAGGCACCAGAAATCTTTTGTCAGTGTACTGCTGAGGCATTACTGCAACAGCCAAGTGTTCCTGATGTGCACAAAACCCAACATAGATGGGAACACTTCTGAATAGCATACATAAGGTGGTAAGGGGGAAGATGTGGAGAGTGAGATAGCAAAGAACTCTGTGGGACCTGTACAGCTGGAAAGATTGGGTAAGGAAAATATGGCATGAATTCTGTATCTGAAATAGAGCAAATTCTAAGGAATAATTATCTTTTTCTGATTCTTTAGTTCAGAAAACTGCTTTATATAAGCAGCCAGGAGCCGGCCTGTACAACCCAACAGCCTTGGCACTTCTTTCTGGTTCACAACTTTTTCCTTCAGCCCCCCCTCTCTGGTGTCTATGCTGCGATGCTACAGCCCCAGCAGTACGCAATTCCTGCCTCAAGCTGTCTGGGGAGCACAGTGCTCAGGCCAGAGAAGAGGCTCAGAAGATCTGCTTAGGCAGAGGCTTGTCTGCTTGAAATGAAAAAAAGCTGTCTCTCGAAGACCCGCCGAGCCCGGGGGAGAGGGTCCTTTCGCACTCCCCCAGGGTGCATTCCCCAGTGCCATTTGAGGCCGCTCAGCACCATAAATGCCATTTGCATCGGGATAGGTTGCAACAGGAGCTGTAAATCACTGACGGGGGAGCGAACACCTCCAGGGGCAGACACTGCGGAGCCGGGCCTCCTCGAGCTGTGGCAATGTGTGAACGGTATCTTTTGTTGAGGGGGGGGACTGATGGCAATTAGATGATACTTATCTGGCTCTTTGATGTGTATTTATACAAACAACGTTTTCCTCCGGGACTTGAGGTATAAAGGAGTCGTGCTTCCTCACACTCTCCTTCTCGGCAGCTCCAAAACGCAGCAGGATGACCAAGGCCCCTTTCTCTGTGGAGTGGCTGTCCCAGAGCAGCCAGGCCCCCAAAAGTCCCACCCAGGGCACCCCGCACCGATCATCGCCCTCGGCCGCCGTCCGCCGTCTCGCCTCGAGCTCCAGACCCGGACTGAGCGAACGGAGCAAGGAGAAAGGCGCCGGGAAAGGCAGGGAGCCTTCGGCAACACCCCCCGCTGCAGGTAATCGCGGCCACCGGCTCACTCTGGGGTGGGAGGGCTGCATGAACTGTGAGCCTCTCCCTGGGGCCAGGGAAGGGATTGAGGCGGACGGGTATCCCTCGGGCCTGCCTGACGCTTTTTTCTTCCGTCTCCAGGTGCAGTGGGGCAACCGCAAGAGGAGCGGGGCCGCGAGTGCTCGTGCCCCGAGGAGCCGAGGGGCGGCCGGCGGCTGCGCACGGCGTTCAGCGCCGAGCAGATCAGCACCCTGGAAAGCTCCTTTCAGAGGCACCGCTACCTGGGCGCCGCCGAGCGCCGCAAGCTGGCGGGCAGGATGCGGCTCTCCGAGGTGCAGGTGAGCGCGGTGCGAGGAGCCGGGATGGACGGTGGGGTGGGAGGTGGCTGATGGTTTAGGAGCGGATCTCAATTCTTGCCCCGCTCCCTTTTCCTGCAGATCAAGACCTGGTTTCAGAACCGCCGAATGAAGCTCAAGAGGCAACTGCAAGAGTTGAGACCGGAGCCTTTCTGTACTCCAGCGCTCCCTTTCAGACCTCAGGTGTCCCTACCAGTCACCTACATGGCCCGGCCGCCGCCTCTACCCGGGCATGAGGCTGCCCCGGGGGGCTTTGCCTTGGCGGCGTTGCCAGCACCTGCCCTGGACATCAGCAGTGCCTGCAGAGCACAGCCTGTGGGTTTCTGGGCAGCACCCTGCTTTGTAGGATACAGGGATCCCAGGGCTTTCTTGCTGAGTGTCTGACCCGCTGGTATGGACTGTGACCAAGGAGAATTTGCACTAATATCTAATAACTATATCTGGGCTGCCCCTGCCTGCATCTGCCTGCTGGAGTTCTGGTGCAGCTCTGAGCAAGATACTGATCGACAATCCAGATCATGGACTTCAGGCCAAGCTGCCCAGCAAGTTCAAACATAGTGGGGTAAATGGTAGCATAAGTGGAATCACCTAACAAACCTTAACATTTTTTCAGCTTTCATCTGAATTGGTCACAAGGACTGCGGAACTATTTATCCTGCCCTGAAAGAGCTCCTCCCCATTGAATGAAGCACAGTCCTTATTCTCTAGTTCTGTCCTGGCCCTAGTAGAGAAAGAATAATCTTGTGTTGTACCTTGCAATTTACTGAGGATACATACAAAAAAGCATTAACTTCCCGCATTCCCTTAAATGGCTGTCCAATTTCTCAGCTGCTTCCACTATGGCACTTCAGGAGGGGGCTGTGCTTTTAACAAGACATATAGATATATCAGGAATTAGTTACCAGTATTTATGACTGGGCCTACAACGACAGCAGAATTTGTAATGAAGACATTGAAATAGCATATAGACTATGATTTTTAGGGTACAAAAAATGGTTTTCTATAAATATATGAAAATACCTTACCACAACTTCATGGGAGGCCTCAGTGGACTAACAAGGGCCTACTGCATAAAACAGATCTTGGAAAGATCTTGAATCTTGGGATCTGGCCTTGCAATTTGCTAGTGTCTCAGCATCTTGCATGTGCCTAATGGGGTTTGAGGGTAATTGTCAAAAGAAATGCAACGTTTCAAAGCTATTTTTCTCTAAATGGCAGTGAAGTTTGTTACCATTGTGCTGTGCACTTTTTGTTTGAGTAATGCTCATGACTGGATAATGTCTGAAGATTTTATTAAAATAAAATTTTAGATTTCAGGCTAAAGAAAGCGTTATGAAAAATGATCCTTGATTGATGTAAGTTGTTGTAAATCTTTCAAAGCTGATTGTGAGCTAACATGAAAAGAGAAATAAACATTTCCATCACTTCAGAGCCGGTCTCTTCAGTTATTAGAAGATTTCCAGTGCACTTGACCATTATCATGAATGGTCTGAAGGTTTGGTGCTAGTCATTCTTGAACACAAATATTCCATTTTTAGACAGAAATCACTCTGTCATACATCCACCTGGTTCAAAATAACTTGTATGTGCCTCCAAAGGCCACAGCCCTTGATTTTTCTAAGTAGTTCCCATATTTGGAAGTCTACTTAGTATTTTAGTCCATGCTGCATTTGTTTAGTCTTTTGAGGTTACTATTTGCTTACAGATACGCTGTTAACATGGCTCTAATTCAAGGGTTTCAGAAAAGCAATAAGGATTTTAGGTGCTATTGATCTTCCTGAGGCTTTTTTAGGAAGATATTACAGTTTAAGGAATTTTGTTAAGAGGAGATAAAAAAAAATAAAAATAAAAAAATCTAACTGAATGTTTATTTTTCGAATTCAAATATTATTAAATGACTGTATTGATTTGAAGGAAAAAAAAAATGGAAGGGAGAGAAATCTGAAATTCTATTGCTCTATCTCAAAAATCACTGGGAAACTGAGATGTCTCCAAAACATTCTTCAATTGAGCAGAGACATTTTTGAGATAGCGCTACACTCAAGATCGATAAGTATACAAGTTATCTGGAAAAAACTAAAGAGAGTCAAACTGACTATCCCATTTTTAAAGGGACAAATGTGGAGGGGTTAAGTGGTCTTTTAATCATGTTCAGCACAGGAGGAATCCAGACGGTTTGCTCACTCAGAATGCCATCAGAACAGCTCCTGGTGCTGTCTTAGGGCCAGGCCAGAGGCACACAACCCTCGGGGCAGCAGGCTGGGGCTGCTGCAATGCCGGGGAAGAGCCTGGCCCCAACCAAATGGGACCGGGGGGGGGGGGGGGGGGGCGAGGGAGATGAAAGGTCTTAAGGGAGAGAGAACAGTATGCTCCTACCCACAGAGGGGAGGCAATTCCTGAGCGTTGGGATTGGCTGGGGGTAGAGGGTGATGGGGATAGAGGGTGATGGGGGTGGGATGAGATTTAATATGAGACCATGAAAACCTGGCCTAACTGCACCCTTCCACACCCAAGCATGGCTCTTCGGGGTAACTTTCCCCTCTGTGCAAAGGCTTAGAAGAGTCCAGAGGCAAGCAAAATGTGCGGTGCTGCAATTTAATCCTACTGAGTCTGTAGAGGCAAACAGGGATGTGGAGCAGCCTCCGAGTAGAGGATGCTTAAGGAGTTAATGGACTTGAGTCCTGCAGGTACCCAGGCGGGTCCTATTAGGCTTTCTGCTAGGAAGGGTAACCTGAATGTATGAGCTGCAGAACCTTTTTCTCTTCTTTCTCTAGAAGTTAACATTCCAGTGATCTTAAAATACTACAATGGGCCTCTATGCTGACAGCCTCTGGCTGAAGGCAGAAAAAAAAAAAAAAAAAAAGGAACTGGGCAGAGCGCTCCAGCCCGGGCGGTGCATGGGCCGCTCGCCCCGGGGCCGGTGGCACTCGCGGGCACAGCAGGGAACCCACATTGCTCCACCAGAGCGAGCTCCATTTCAACACCCCTTTTGTGTCTTTAATCACATCACAGCCACCTTCCGGGCAGGAATGATGCCGGCGGGACAAAGCGCAGCGTGCGAGCCCCCCGCAAATGGCAGGGCCGGGTGGCTGAGTTGGGGAGGAACATTTTGGAGCTGGCGGCTCTCGAGGAAGGGGCTGTATAACCTGAAAACGGGACTCCCTGGGGAGGAAAAAGGGGTGGGAGGGTAGAAAGCTGACTTCAAAGCCTTTCTTCCCGCAGTGTGTGCGCAACCTGATTGAATTAGCGCCGCGGTAATGGCAGGGAGCCGGCTGCAGCCCGTGCGTTAACGCCTGTCCCAATTTGGCGAGAGCAACCAACAGGGCAACGGCTGGGAATAGGGCCGGCTGCCCCCCCCCGCAGCGCCCAGACACCGTGGAGCCACAGGCGGCACCTGTTAACGAACCAGGTGAAGTGATTCGGAGTTGTGTGCTAATCAGGAGGGATCTCGCACCGCCAGGCCATTATGTCTAATTGCAGCCCATTATCTCTTTCTTTGATACGTAATTAGATGCCAATTAACTTGATAAATCCAACCGAAACGAGGGGGGAGAGAAAGAGGAGAAATCTTTTAGTCTCAGTTCGGTTTTTTTGAAAGGTTTTCCCTCTTACCTTTTATAACTGTTCACTAAGTTTTTAAGCTCCGACCTAATGTTGTATTGTAAAGGCGTTTGGTGGGGAACTGATCCCGGCAGCGGATTGGAATTCGGGAGGTGAGGTGTTTAAGTTCCCATTTCAGCTCTCAGTTACTCTTCCTGGGCAATCGCGAACAGCTGCGGAGGTGTCACCGATCCCTGGGCAGCGCGGAGTGGCGTGCGTGGGAACTGGGTTCCTGCTCCGATTTGCACTGGCTCGCACCGAGGCTATCTCGGCGCTTTGTCCCTCCGTTGAGCAAAGAGCTGAATGGGAATTCCGTGATAAATCGCTTTTAATGCAAAGCGCGCGTTTGGTCCCACAGTGCTGAATGGGAATAGCTGCAGCGTGTGAGCCGGGAGGGCGCAGCGCTCCGGGTGAGTCAGAACATTTGTTATTTATGGTGTGTCAGCCCGCATTGTTCCCGTGGGCAAAGGAGAGCCTGGTGATGGCCCTGTTAGTGTTCACGGCTACTTCAAACAGAAAGCATCCATTCCGAAACAATCGATCTCGTTGATGCCTAATTGGCTGTCTAATAGCACTTATCAGGACATCAAACGGCGTGCTGGATAACCTAGTTAGCATTTCCAAAGGGGAGCAGTGAAGGATACAAACAGTGATCAGCGGTCTCACCGCCCCCCGAGCCCTGAGCCCCGCCGAGCGCTGGTGGCCGCGTCCCTTCCCGTAAGAGGCTGGAAGGGCTCCCTCTGCCTCGGGCTTTCACCTATGGAGTTGGCCAGTTAAGCTAGAAATTATTTTGCTTGAGATGGATTTTTTTTTTTTTTTCCTGATTTCTGGCCATAGTTTCTTATGCTGTTGCGCAAAAGTAGGGGATGGAGTATATATGTTAATAGACTTGGCGCACTAGCGCTATTCTTGGAGAATGCAAGTGCTTCAGCTTCTAGTGGCAGCTCCGGGGAGAACAGGGAGAGGCCTTTCAGTATCTAAAGGCCAACTACATGGAATAAAGGGACAAACTCTAGCGAGATCAGCTGTGATGGGATTAAGGAGAATAGTATAAAAGTAAAAAAGGGGAGATTTATATTGGATATAAGAAATTTTCCACATTAAGAATGGTGAGGCATCAGCACAGGTTGCTCAGAGAGGTGGTGGGTGTCCCATCCATCAAAACACCCAAGATCAGGCTGGATGGGGGCTCTGAGCACCTGATAGAGCTGTAGGTGTCCCTGCTCATTGCAGGGCAGTTGGACCAGGTGGCTTTTAAGGGTCCATTCCAACTCAAATGATTCTGTGAATCTAGTGTAGTGTGAGCCTCTAGAACCTGGTACAGGGGAAGTGCCAGTAACATTTTTTTGATAGCAGATAGAACTCCAGTGATACAAAATCTAAAGTGATACATAAAAATGGATCAGGAAAGAAACAAAGTCTCCTTTAAGAGCCTTATTTCTGTAGGAGGTGAGGAGGGGATTTCACTCTGCCCTCCCAGGATCATCAAAGTTCCCAAGTTTCTCAAGTCGGCACCTCTTCCTGGTGGGAGCTGCAGCAGCCCCATGACACCTCCTACCCATTTCCCATCTGTTCCGAGGTTTTGTGGTCTACAGATGTGGCTACCACCTCCCCCGGGGTGGGGGCGGGGAATCCTAAGGAGTTAAACATTTAACTTAATAGACAATTCTAATTAAATAATAAAGAAAAGGTCGTGGATTTCACAAACTTTTAGAAAATAGTGGGACAAGTCAACTGCTTCCCTTCCCTACACCCCCAAATGACATAAGGTGACATAAGATCTGTTCATGTATGGCACTGATCCAAGTCTCGTGCGTGGCTTAGTTCTGACAGTAGGGATGAAGAGTCTCTCCCCAATAGCTGTACATTGTTTTGTGCCCATGGGGTAATTCTGGGTATGGGGGCTCTTGGGTTTGATATAAGTTTTGTCCTGCTGGAGAAGCACTGGAGATACCCCTTCCCTTGGGGGAGAACACTGCTTACAGGTGTGTGCTTGACTCAGTATCTGCTGAATACCAGCAGTTTCTGGGTGTCATAGCATTTGGTCTAGGTGAGGCAGTTGGGCTCTGCAGTTACTTTGCAATGAAGTTCTATGCATAACCTGTGGGATGAAACCTGAGCTCTTCAGATGGGATTTGTTCAGGCATGGAGTTATTCATACTCATGGCTGCTCTGAAATAAGATAGAAATGGTGAGAAAAATGGTGCATTTTTTCCTTTAAAAAGAGGGTTCATGCACAGTTGTACAGGAATAGCTATTAAATCTGGAAGTGATCAAAATTGATGTGCAAATTCTGAGCTTTTTTGGACGACTTGGTGCCTTGGAACTGCGAGGTTTAAGGAGCTGCTAGTTTGGTGGCCCTTTTGAGTGTGTTTCCAAGACAGGGAGGGAGCCTAGTCTCCAGCTCAGTGCACAGCTGCTTGTGCACCTGCATGGACTTAAGCCAAAGCCAAAATGACAGTTTGGATTCAGTGGTAACTGAACTTCCATTAACAGCTGTGCCCAGCACCCCATAAAGGACAATGTAATCTCACTGCCTGTGCAAGAACAGCCTCTCCCAGCCCTGCTTTAGGGAATGGTGTTGGAAGAGAAGCTCCGGGGCTGGATGGGCTGTGCAAGGTGTTTGCATTGCTCCTGTTCCTGTGTTGTATAGCTTCCCCGGGGTCGGGGTTAGGGTGAGGCAGTGGGGCTGGAGGAATCAGTAACGCAATGCACTCATCCTAGTGTCCATGGAGTTACGGGAATGCTTGGAAGGATGAAAAAGGGCAGCATGAATATGGTTTTCTCTGCAACACGGGGTGTTCCGGGGGAAGACATCTGGGCTCTGTGCGTTGCTCTTTTTGTACAAAGTCACAAGCCCCTTCCCCATTCCAGCCCGGGTCCCAGCTTTGCTGGGGTGGGACGCGGGGGGGATACCTTCGCGGTGCCCTCCTCGCGTTACAAAGGCATCTCCCTCCCCGGGAAGCGCCGTGTGGGTTGGGGACCGTTCGGGGTTGATGAGGTGCGAGCGCTGCTCACTTCGTGCTTTGATCGCTCGGGTCCAAAGACCCTTCCAAAGGAGGTCAGGGATGCTTTCTGGCTAGACAGGTGGCGCCAAGTTCAAGCTGAGAGAGCCCGCGGCACCACCGAGCCCCAGCCCGGGTGAGAGCTCAGCCTAGGGGATAGGTGTTTGAGATCAGCGGCCTCCAACCGCTTTTCCCAGGGTCCGCTCTGCCGGTGACGCGCCAGGCGGCGGAGCTGGCAGCCGGGAATTGCTCACCCCGCAGCCTTAAGGCGGGCCGGGCGCTCTCAGTGTTGGGGTATCGCGGCCAGAGAGGAAGCGGGTAAAAATCCCGCCGGTCGTGGCAATATCGGTATCTTTAAAAGCCTCTCCGCGGGGCTGGGCCTGCCCGTGCCCTGCCCTCCGGGGGATAGGGGCAGGTTTGCACTTCAAGAGGGTTTCCCCGGCCCCGCAGACACGCTGGAGCCGGGGCCTTGTAGACATTTGCCAGACGTGTGAACTTTCTTCTTCGCTGGCAGCTGTTATCTCTGCTCGATTCCCACTTTGATGTGGCTTCGCACTTGCAAACTAGCCCGTTCGGGACTGGAGCGCCTGTATAAGAGCTGATCGAAGCCGACAGCCCCAGCCCCTCACCGCCATGAGCCAGGCCGACTTTCCCCTGGCAGAGCACAAATCCGACGGGATGCGGCCCCACATCTGCTGCGTCCCCCCTCCCCGCGCCCCCACCTCGCAGGGCAGCGGCCGCAATTCCCTCCTGGCCAGGGCCGAGCCCCGACGGGGGAGTCCGCGACCGGAACAGCCCTTGGACTGCGAGCCCGGTGCGGAGCGGCGGAGTGGGACCTGTCCCCAGGCGCCCAGCGAGCGCTACCTGTCGGAGTCAGGTAGGTGAGAAGGGTGGGAGGAGAAAAAAGGCGGGTGTGGGTCGGGACCTCAACTCGTGTCGGCGCAACGGAGGCGGACCATGGATGGGGGAAAAGGCTTCACCGCCGCCCCTTCCATCCCTTCGGCAGCCCCTGACGGCGGATGGCTGAGCGCCGACGAGTCCTCGGGCTACGAGAGCGAGAGCGCCGGCGGGGAGCGCTCGGAAGCGGAGGCGCCGTGCGGGAGCCGCGGGCGTCAGCGGCGGGCGCGGACCGCCTTCAGCTCGGAGCAGGTGTGCCGGCTGGAGAAGACATTCCAGCACCAGAAGTACCTGGGAGCCTCGGAGCGGAGGAAGCTGGCGGCCGCCCTGCAGCTCTCCGAGGTCCAGGTGAGTGCCGGCCATCTCGCATGGCTGCGCTGAGACGTTCTAGCGGCCTTTGGCTGAGTTCCACTGCTTAATACCTAACAACTTAACTAGCCAGGCCTCGATATACATCGAGTTGTGTCTATCTTGCAAGGGTTATAGACGTTCTTAGCGCCCTAAAGTGATTCATCCATAACCCTTCTGCACTCTGATCCTCTGTGCTTGGTTAGCTCTGGCATCAGCCCAACACAGGCAATTAAAGCAAAGTGAGCACGGAAAGGTCCGGTGTACTGCCGTTGCTTGCACCTTGCACTTGTAAGCAAAGTACTGAGCTGTTACTTCCTCGCCTACCATCCCTCCTATTTCTTAGATCAAGACGTGGTTTCAGAACAGGAGGATGAAACTGAAGAGGGAAATCCAGGACCAACAGCACCTCGTATCTCCTGCTCCACTCTACAGCTTCCCCCCGGAAACCACCCCTCCAGCCCTCCTTTCCGATGAAGGCTTTCCGTTGTCTTTCCACTATCCCTTTGCTCCACAGCATCAGAGACTCCTGCCTCTCCCCCCGGTGTCTGCGATGCAGCTCAGCTTCTCCTTCCCCAGATACGATGCTTTTCAAAGCACCTACTGCTTCATGGCAAGCGAGCTGCCATACTACCATCAACACTTGCTTCCTCCTCATCCTTCTTTCCATTCAGTAATTCAGAATAAAATGGACAATAAATGCCATCCTCTGTACACCTGATAGTGAAAACAAAACATGGTAGACAAACAGGAAAAATTGATGAGTATGATGTATTAGTATAGTGAGAGAAATGTATTATTTTCCATTTAGATGAATTTTTTGTCTGATTTGTAATCTTACATGTTTACCTATCTAAATTAATTGTAAAGAGTAATATTTATTAATATTTGTACTAATTAGCATTAAAATTGGATGTGGTGCCTCTTGGTCTTCTTTATGCCTCACCTTTTTGAAAAGCTTTATTTTTTTTTCCCCAAATACTTCTATCTTCTTTCTTTGATATGTATTGTGCTGAAGATACCTTAAGCACAGCTGAAAGGCAAAATTATTCTATAGCTATGATACACTTACAGTTTTGTGCCTACAGCTTTCATTTTGTGCTTGCAGCAGCTGAAAGGGAACTGAAGGAAGAAAAGCCAAAGCAAAAATTTGCATTTGCAAGATTTCCCACGGTGTAGAACAAAATTAAGTTTAGCTTGGACTGGAAATTGCACACCTTCGGTTTTCACATGTATATAAATTGACAGATGTTACCTGTGCACAGTGTGCAAAGGTTTCACTTGTGAACTGCTCTTTCAATAATGGGGAAAAATTAAAAAATTGTGTGCATATTACCTGGCTTTCCTGCAGTCACATTGAGAGGGATTCTGTATTTTGTTATGTTTGAGAGCCTGAGCCTTGCCAGCTGTATCATACCATGTTTGAGGCACAGCAAAGGAGGAAGATGAAGGTGTTTTTCTTCTGTATATTAATTGATGTATTGCTTTGCACTTCTAGTCTCTTTTCCATCTGAGAGCTCCAACCGTGTTAATCACAGATGCTTGTGCAGCTGATTCATTTTTTTAACTGTGATTAAATAGTTCAAATGTTCAGAGTTCTGAAGTTTTACAATTATCAAATCCAGTATCTTGAAAAAGATTTAAGAGCATAATTAGAGTTCTGTTAATAGTTGTATTGTCTAAATGAGATTTTAATCCGCAAATTTGGCCTTTGATTCCCCACTGAATGCTCATGGTAATTGCATATTTTGAAATACTCCTTAGGTAAATTGATGCTTTTAGGACAAGCAGCATTTGAAGGGAGCAGCTTTAGTTTTTTTGCTCTAATGATCCTGAAACTTTTCTTTTCCCTTTCCCATTAAGAAAAGGTGGTCGTTCTCAGGAGCTTGGTTTTTCCATGGAGGGAAAGGATTAATTAGCACTTTTCTTTTAGAACTTAATGAAGCTTATTCAGTTCTTCTAAGTGCATTAAAAACTAGATTGATTGCTGCAATGTAGTCTTAATTTTCCCCCTGTTGCCCTGCACCCCAAGGGCTTCGAGTTTCAGTGTAACAATCTGAGGGGGCACCTCACTTTTGAAATGATATCTAAACCTGATGCTGTCTTAACACTAAGAGGTGCAAGGCTGGCATTGAACTTCGTGGTCAGCAGGGGAAGCAGTGTCTGGAATTTACAGGGTAACTGGTCCTAAGTTGCCATGCTGCGTTTTCTCTGGGTTGTACAGCCTGTGTGCACAGTGGCAGATTAATGCACTTTCTGTCCATTCAGCTCCCGGACCCCATCTCAGAGCAGAGTCCTGGTGGGGCTGGGAGCAAAAAGGTGTGGGTGCGTTGGGAGAGGGATCTCCTCTGAGTGACAAAGATGGGTTGCTCCCCTTCCGCCCTGTAAGGTATGGATGCTTCTTTACAGCATGGTTGGTGATTAGGATTTGGGGTATTACACCAGAGAAAACAATCTGAACAGAAGGTAGGACTGTGGGTGGAAGTTTATCTCCTATTCCTCACTGTCCCTTGTTGTCTGCCAAGAACTGTACATTCAGCTTTGCTCTCCTCAACCCCAAAACACAAGTGGGGTAGTGAAGAACAGCAGCGTTGTACAATGGGGTTGTAGGCCATGTTTATCAACTCCTTTTTTATTCATAACTTCTACCTCAAAAAGAGATATTCTATTGTTATTTTCATTGGACAGTACAAAGTTATTTAGCTTTCAGCTAGCAATCAGGTTAGGATGGTCAGGGGCAAGAGAGATAAAATCACACCTACTGGTGTAGCTCCACACTGATACAGGGAGTGCTTCTCCCTACTCCCTTCCTGTAGGCTTGAATCTGCTATTCTCTATAATAGGAGGATTTTAAGGAGCAGTCCCAAATGTACCTGATGCAAGCCTAATGCTGCACTGCAGCTTGAAGTTACTGAATCTGCCAAGTTCAGCTGAAGCTGTAGATGTAATAACTGATATTTCATGTTTTCAGTGGTGCATTAGAACAAAACTTATGAACAACTGGAGTGTTTTCAACAGTAGATTTAAATTACAATCACATTTTGCACTAGCATAAAAAATACGATTGACAATTAATCCCCTAGCTTCCTCTTTTAAAATGCAGCTAAGTAAAGAGGAGGTGACTTTAGGGACTGTGCAAAATAGACAGATGAAATACAATATGAGGCAATTTGTGTTTGGCCACAGGGTTGACACCTATTGTATCACTTTTGTTTTAACTTGTTTGATGTCATTGACAAGCCTTTTCTTAAAAGTCCCTTGTCATGAACAGCTATCACTGTGTCCTCCATATAGTTCATCATGTAGCTACTGCATACATATAATAAACACTCCCTTTTCTCTGTGAAGAACCGCATGTGATTATAGGCTGTTTTCTGAGAACAAACTCTGGGAAAAGTGTTTCAGTACAAAGAACCGAAGGCTGTACAAGTTTCAGATCTTCCACTTCCACTCTCAGTATTATACCTCGAGGCCGTTGTTTCTTTTTAACATTAGGGGAAAAAATATGAAAAAAAAAGTCACACATATTTAATATAAATTATTACTCTTTAGATATTTGGCAGCTTACAGATAATCTTTGGCATTGTTAACAAGGTAGGTAGGGCTGGAATCTCAGTCCTTTGTGGTCGTTGGTTAAAGTCACAGCTGGGATCACAGCGGAGTATGCAGGCAGTGCTGGGCCGGGGGGAAGCAGCAAAGCTGTGCCTGGCAAAGCTGCCTGTGAGAGCTGTGCTGGAACAGGGGGCGCCAGCAGGGACGGGCTGAGCCCTGCTGGGTGCAGGGGAGCGCTCAGGGTAGAGGAAACACTGATATCCAACCCATGAGGACAGCTGGGTGTCACCGTATCCGGGTACTGGTGATAGGGCAGGAACAGGCCTGAAACAAGGGCTTCTACCCTGGCATCCTGTGTCTCGCGTTTAAATTTCATACGGCGATTCTGAAACCAGGTTTTTATCTGGGGATAAGAAAGGAAAAATCAAGAACCACCCCACTCCTCTCCGTTCCACGCAGTGATGCGCCCTGCTAGCCGCCCTGCTGTCCGACTTGCAGGGTAGCAGCTACAAGAGGTGGGGCTGATAACGGTGCTCTGACGGTGTGGCGATTTGGCCCACCTGCGGCTCAGGTGCGGCAGGGCTGACTCTGCTTTGAGTGGGATCCCGCAACGCCACCGCGTGTAGGCATCGTTTTAAGAGAGAGACGGCTAGAAATCTGGTATTTATGAGTCAGTACAAACCTATACAACCGTGCCAGCCGAAGCAAGGATGCCGACTCCACGCAGTTCTGTGTGGCAGAGCCGTCGGCAGACCCGCCCATCCCCTCCCTCCAGCCCCACGCCCGCTCACCTGGCTCTGCGAGAGGTCCAGAGCCGCAGCCAGCCGCCTCTTCTCGCTGGCGCCGATGTAGCGCTGCTCGCGGAAGCTCCGCTCGAGCTCCTGCAGCTGCGCCGCCGAGAATTTGGTGCGGGGCCGCGCGCCGCCTCCCTCCTCCACCTCGTGCGCGGGGCTGCAGCGCCGCGGGGCCGGGTGCGTTGTGGGAAGGGAGAGCGGCGTCGGAGGGGCGGCGAGGCGGGCAGAGCCGCACGTGCCGCTGTTGTTCTCCCGACGGCCGGCAGCTGCGGTCCCGCCGCGCGCCCCGCACTCTCCCTGTGCTGCGCTGTTACCCCCGCTGCGGCTGCTCTGCGCCAACCACTCCACGGAGAAGCGGCCCTTCTCCATGATGGTGGGGCTTTCCCCGTTCTCTGAAACCGTCCCGGAGCTGGGGGCAAACATTTAAAGCGTTTTCAGCGGCGTGGCTCTCCGAGCATCAAATGAGGCCGAGAACAAAGGACCCCGTTGAGAGGCCTTTAATCTCCCTCTCAGGTGATTGTTACATCCGCCTAATCTCTGAGCGCCGCAGTTAGCGGGGCTCAAGGCTGCCTGACCTGGCGCCAAGTTCAGCCCTGAGTCACCCCCTGGCCGTACAGCTCTGATAACCACGTTGCGGCCTGAAATGGCCGTTGTGCCCCCGACTCCAAGCACATCGCGATTTTCAGTTTTTTTCTCCCTGGGACGAAGGAGGAGGATTCGGGAGGGGCTGGTGACGATGGACAGAGGACTCTTCTGTGAGAGCTCACCCCACATTTGGAGTTTTTCTTGCTCACTTGGAGGAATCCTCTTGCCTTTCTATCAGCAAAGCGATCTGAGGTATGAATAAATACTCCTTGGCCTTAAAAACAAGGGAAAAATATGAAGTTCTGGTATCTCCCCACGATGCCCATGAGCAACGTGCTGCTCTTTGTCAGCTCAGGAGGCATTGGTGCTGTTTGAACTTGGAGCATTTCACTGCTGCCCCTGAGGCTGAGGGCAGAGATAAGGGCTTTCTCTGCGCTCTGAAGTGCACGGTGCAGTTGCTGACCTGTGTTTGTGCAGCACCTGAATCATAAAGAAGTTTTCGCGGCGGGAAGAGTCGCAAGTAGGTTGCAGGGGCATTAGCACGGCAGATGGTGAGGTCATCCGTTAGAAATCAAGGTGGGAAGTTCTGAGTCCTCTAATAATGAGTAGAACAAGCTAATTCTTATGAATTAATTCAAGGACTGGGCAGTGAAATTATGCTTCAGGATGTTGGGCAGGACGAGAAAGGCTGAGAAAATGACCAATTGGCTTGAAATACGTCAGTTCATGTCCTAAAACATCTCTCTTCCCCACACACTAAAAAATGTATGCATTTCAAAGTAAACAGTTCTGATGTTTTTATAAAGTAGATCAAAGAAGAGAAGTGTAATCTCTGTTCAGAGGCAGTCTGTTCGAGGATGATTCAGATAAGGGTGAGAAAAGAACCTCTTTTACGGTCTGAAGTGGGCTTGGGATGGCACAGTCCTTATCCTCTGCAAACACGGGCTAACACATTTACAGGTTGTTTCAGTAAACAGCCGCCGCTGCTTGAGTTTATACAGCCAGAGATAATGAACTAGCTTTCACACAGAGCCGAACGCGTTTGAGACATCATGTTAATTCGGAGACTTCAAAGAAATCCGTGTCACGGCGAAGTATTTGCAGAGAGCTGGCAAAAGTCAAATAATGCCACCCTTCAGGCCATTTTCCTTTAAGGCTGTCTATATTTTCTGAGGCAATCGTGGTTTTCTTTTTCCTCTCATAAAATGCAGTAGGAATTACATGCCCTTTTGCTTAGAGTGCTGAAACCCGACCAGGCGTTTTTAGAAGTTGCCTTGAGCGTGCTTCATACATATGTCCGCAGATCTTTTGTTCTCCTTGTTAATGAGAAGAGTTCTCTTGAATGTTAAGTTGGGAGCTTTGCTACTCTCCCTCTTTCTCTTTCTCTCTTTTTTTTTCCTCCTGAAGACGTCCCCCACCTACAGTAATCTCTAACTTTTGAAAACTACCAAGATGCAAGTTACATTGTACCTGTCCCTTTTAATGAAGAAAAACAATCAAAACTCAGAGGAAGTTTGGAGGAGGAGACTGTTGCTAAGTCTTCTTTGATGACAATGAGTCCTAAGTACATTCAGAATGATTTGTCTGGAACGGACCATTACAGATAATTTTAGTTAGCTTGGTTCCTAGTCCTATAAACAACTATAGAATTATAAGCATGTAATAAGTCAGTTAATCGTAAAAATCCATGGTTGAATCTATTGATCAGAGAGTCTACTGTATAGAGAGCAGAACTTAAAGTGCTGGTTGGAAACCTGAGTGTTAGTCCTGGAAACAATGAGCTCTGTTGGGAAAAATTATAAAGAGACAGTCAACTTCTTAAGTGAATCATTACAATGCATTTAGTGTTACAGATAACATCTAATCACAAGGAGCAGTAAAACATCATTCCTTTATGTTATTGTTTCTACTTGTTAATTATTATTGTGCTGATGCTAGTAGATGAGCAACAAAGGGGAGTTCCGCTATGATGGCAGCCCTAAAATTTGCATTTTATTGTTAATGCAGGGCTTAGTGTGCTTTGTTTTATTTCTGTAGTGATTGATGTTACTTATTTATTTATTTTACCCGACCAGATTGGAAGAATTGCCCTTACAGCTTTTGGGACAAAATCTTTAGTTTCAAAAGGCACAGGGAATCAATATATAATTTTTGTACTTATTACATTAATTTTCAGATTCATGAAAGGATTAAAGGCTTCTAATGCTTCCTCTTTTTTTTTTTTTTTTTTTTTTTTTTTCTCCCCTTCTTGAGACCAAATTACTTAAGAAAATCTTATAATTTGTACTTAAGAAGCTAGGAGTAGAAGTTTCCACCTTGTCCAGCATATGCTGAAAACCACATATCTTTTTGGAGAAGAGGGAAAAAAGGTAATCTCAAATTTTCCATCTGCTCTTAGTGAAGCCTTACACAGATTTAGATTAGAGTTACTCTGAGAACTGCTACTGAGGATAATATATTTGCTTTTAAAATAATACAAGTATTTTTAATTTATAGTTGTAAGTAGCATAACACAGATGTACTGTGCTGCTTCTTAGACAGTACAGCATATTGGAAACACTATTTTTTGCCTTGGATAATTGTTGGCAGAAGACCATGTTCTAACATGAGGTGGCTGTCCTAGTTTTAAATACTGGCCCATTTATTGTAAACAGAAGTGAGGTCATATCATCAAAGCTTTATTGTGATGTCATGTGACTGCCCTCTAAAAATGTTTAGTGTTTGTTCAACGCTGTCTTTTATCTGTAATATCTTTCTGCCATTTGATACTGCCGTTGATATTATACCTTTTTTGCTTGTTTTTGTTCTCTTCATCTGCAAAACAAAACTCAACAAGGACTTCAGCAAAACTAGAAGAAGGCACACATGTGGCCATGAAAGTTATAAACATGAGAATGACTCATGTTTTAAGAGACTAACGCTGTTCATGCTTTGTGTGTTATAACAGTGATTTAACTGAGGTGCAGAGGGTTGTTTAAAGCGTCTCTCACACCCTTCAAAGGATTCTGATGGAGTAATTGCAAGGCTGTAAGTGAACACCACGCGAGGGCAATTACAATTTAAAGGGTCATTGCTGCGTGTTCCTACTTAGCAATTATCACACAGTAGATCCTGTGGTGAAACACCCATCTGGTCTTTCATTGATTGTTAGCCCTTTCTATGATTACCTAGAGGACAGAAAGCACAGTGACCTGTTTCTTACAGGCTAGAGAGGTGTACTGCAGGAGTAACTGCTCCATATCTTAGGCTGTGACATACTGATAACCTTTCATGACTGAGTTTTCTGGTTTTCTTTTGGTTATTTCAGTGCGCTGTCTTATAGTAATTAATGTGTTTTAGTTATTGCCTCAGTTGTGAAGAAAAGCAGTAGTTGTTCAGCATTGGTTTGGTTATGGAATATATTAACATGTAGAAGCTGGGTTTTTTGTCAGTATGCTAGCAGTGAAGCTATCTATATAATGAAGTGCACCGAGGGTTAATTCAATCATTTGAAAAAATTCTAAGGACACTCATTTCTACCTTGAATGAAGGATACACTCAGCTAAATGACACATTTTCATGTGTAGTAGTAGTAGTACTAGCAGCTCTGCGGTTGAAGAGAGATGTCTCCCTTACCTGCATGCGTTTTCCTACACGCTCTTCTGATCTGTCAAGGAGTCTGCTTAGGTTTTCAGCTATTAAACAAACAGGAAAGAGAAAATCAGGTGCCTTTTAACAACTGTGAGAGCTAAACCTAAAAGGCTGGATGAGCTCCACAGCCTGTACAGAGGAGTGTTTGGACTGTGGATGAGATAGAAATGGGGTGATTCCTATTAGTAGTAAATGGTATTGGTGCATTTGATAGAGGAACAGTTTGCACATTCAGGAGGTCAGTATAGCTGCTCTTTTTGTCCAGATGGAGAGACTAAGATAAGAATTACTTTGTTTACAGTTGAAGTGGTGATATTCAGTTACATTCAAGTAAGAAGTTCTAATTGGAATTGATAACTGTTACATAGCTATATTCATGTTTACATGGAAGGATTCTATAAAACTATGTAATTAAAACTGTAGATTAAGCTCAATGTCAGTGCCATTCGTCCTTCAATTAGCTATCAGCATTTAGTTTTTCATACAAACTAATTGCATCTAATTGTCAGTGATCAAACATAATCCTTTCCATTTCAATCCAGCTGTCTCCTGTGTATTGAATTGTTCATCTTACACAAAATCTTACCATCTCAGGAAACAGAGCTGGCAAAAACACATTAACCTAGGAAATACTGCTTTTGCTAACAGGTAATCAACTAACATCTGTAGGATCATCACTTAGAAAGTTTGTTTAAAGAAACGTTTAAAGAAGCTCTCTGAAATATCATCTCCACATTTAGGTATGGTCAAAAGAACAGATAAAATTATTATAGGCTACTTAAAAAGAAAAAAAAAAAAAGAACTAAAGTATATACACTATTTTTGTGTATTGCAGAAAAATATTTTGGATCTATACTTATGTTTGTTGAAGTAGCATTTTAAAGGCAATGTTTGGAATTCTTAGCTACTTCTTCCCCAAGAGAGTGTTGGGCACTGGCACAGGCTGCCCAGGGTGGTGGTGCAGTCACTGTCTCTGGAGATGTTCAAGAAATGTTTAGATGTTGTACTGAGGGACATGGTTTAATGGGAAATATTGGTGACGGATGGTTGGGCTGGATGATCTGAGAGGCCTTTTCCAAACTTGGTAATTTTATGATTCTATAATACAGTATGGCTTGATATCTTAATTTCTAGAGTAACTCTATTTTGTAGGA